CGAGACTTCGCTCCGTCTTTATATTTACACAATGCATCGTATTGAGTCTTCAGTAAAAACCTCTGTCAGTAAACATCGTATGCCGTTCCCTTCAAGTCATGCTCGCTACCCTGTATATATTCTGTAAACCGCTCAGTATAGCTATCAACTTCACAAAAATAACACAACAAACTACGACTACCTATACACACTCAACGTAACTACAAAGATCCACACGAACGATCCGTCACTGTATCTACACAAGAAGTCCTCACAAGAAGTCCTCGACACATCACGACAATATCTATCGAACTAGCTCTTGCAAATGGAAGAGTCAATCGAAGATTTCTTCGAGGTTAGCCTTGTAGAAAAGTGGCCAGCCGGCGTCATTGGAGGCGTCCTGCTTCTATTTGCCGGGCTCTTTCTTCCAAAGTATGATGATCACGATCTCTCGCATCTGTCCTTACTTCCAACACGCACCTTGCAAGATGGATTCAATGAGTATTTGCTCGATAACGTGGAACGATTTGGTCTTCTCTTCATAGGTTGGCTAGTCCTCTGGGGCATATGTCAAGGTGTGGAGTGTCTTGTCGACCTGCTACCAAAAGCTTGGCGTCTGATCGTGTCATTTATCCATGACTCAAGGCGCGCGATTCAAGACGGGGTCTGGAAATGCCGGCAAAAATATCTCGGCCATCCTAGAGCTGTTTCCTTCATTGGTACTAGCCTTCGGAAAACACTGACTGCTGCCGCGTACACATGGATGCTGACAACCCAAACCCCGAGACCGGTCTACAAACCGGAGCCAGATATGTTTCGCCTGTTTTGGCCCTATGTGTTCGACCAAGGGGACTGTTACCGTAGTCCAAGCGTCGGCCAAGGGTTCTATGCCATCCTCACTATCTGGTTCGCGGTAATTGCAAGTGCGGATTTCATGGCTCACCTCGAAAGACGGTTCCTTGGCACGCGATATCGCTCCGCTAAACTCTGGTCTATCGAATCGATCATTCTTCTTGTCCTAGCTATCTATTTCTGGCCAGTACCATTAGGAACGGGCTGCGAACGCAACATTGTCGAGACCAATGTTCTTATCCTTCTTTTCCTTTGCTTTTTGGGCGTTTACGCGTTCACATACAAGAGTTGGCCTTCTTTGGGGGTTGTAGATTTCTTCAGAAGCTGCATAACCATTACGAAGCAAAGCTGGCGACGGCTTAGGAGCGTGTCCGATACTCCTCATTCCAGCATCAAAAACATCTCGCAGTGCGTCCACGAACACGACACTGACCCAGACAAGGGCCCACTCGTCTTCAGCACGTGTAAGAGCATCTGCTGCGGGCAATGTTTCAATGCCTGTCGCGACAGCGACCAACGAGTCTACTGTCCCCAACACCTCGCTTTAGGCCCTCAGCAGCTTCACCCCCTCCGGTCCAGCCATGGGGAATGCTGCGTGTGCAACGGAGACGATGGGTTGCTCGACACTCCGTGTGGTCATCCGGTATGTACCACATGTGTGACGAGGGTAGCTCGTGGACGGGTTCAAGCTTTTGGACGCAACCGAGTGAATGGACGGGTAACCAGGATCAGCGAAACGGACTACCACTGTGAATGCTGCTTTCCTCTCGGACCTGATCCATCCCCACCAACAGTCGCTGACTTGTTGGCGTCCCGTCTGAATGATCATCGACCAAGTCTTATTCACTAAAGGGGCAGGGACAGTCTTTCGTAGCAACAATAATACCATTCTTTCGTTCGGAGTTCGCCCATACAACCAATAGTCGTGTTGACGCGGAGGAGATAGGCAGGATAGATTCTTTAGATTCCGGTCAGGGTGCTTGACTGCGTGGTAAATAGGGGTATGTTGCCTTGACAGACTATTATTGTTGCAAACAGAACATTGTGAACTGCTATATGAACACCTAACCATCTCAGAGTAGTCACCAGCAGGCGTCGGGTTATCCAAACTCTTGCAGCAGATCTGCTCATCCACAACATGTACTCGGTCTTTGAGTAAGAAGCCGTCAGCCTTTTCACCCTTCGTTGACCTGCAGCCTACTCGTGCCAATCCAGTCGAATTCCTAAACTCCCACAGTCGGGGAGCGACCGCCATTCCCCGTGACACCCATCTTGTTGTACTCCACCCTTGTTGTCCTGTCCATCTTCTCTCGAGATCGCCATGTGTGTCGTGGAGACGGAAACCTATCGCGACGCGTATGATATCGTGTGGCCAGGTGTAGAACGCGTCCTCGCAATGTGGAGAGGCCGGAGGGATGGCGTAAGGGCAACCCGCTGGAGCCTCGATTGACGTTCCGTTAACGGGCGATACGTGATCTGGCAACATGGCGTCGTGCGGACTCGGTCCATCGTGAGGATGATAACGTTCTGCTGCAGCATGGTACATAAGCACGCGTTCGTAACTGACGACAAGCTTCGCGCGGTCAATGTGAGGGCGGGGCAGGCGATGACGGGGTGCTGGTCCAGCTCCGCCAAATTCCATGGCCCAAGTAACGTCCTCAGTGGAGGTGGCTGCAAGTCGCTGCTCCAGACAGTAGCCGGGCGTGCGCAGTGGTCAGATAGTCCAAGGTTCTGCCGAATCTGCGCGCGACAGGTACCGTGAAGGCTGGGCCACGGGGTCCATGTTGGGTGTCGAGCAGAGGTGGTGGCCTGGAATCATGCCGTCGGATTCAACTAGGCTGTCGTCGGCTGCGTTGAGCGCGTTTCTACGCAGCAGATCCTACCGGGCCCATCATCCACTGTCCTGCTATGCATCCGTCCTCCTAGTTTCCGACTAGTCGTGTCTTGTTGTGAAGACGACGGCAGCGGCTGCCCATTGGTTGCGACTAGACATGGGCGATGTTTGGGGGATATGCAGTATGTGGGGACATGTGTGCACTACTTCGCTCGAGAGCAGGGCCGCCGCGATACTGGACGTGTCCAAGGTGCGGCTGCCAACGTGGTTTAGTGTGTAATATGGGCGGTGTCGCATGCAGGAAGGTGATGAGCCGGTCAACGAAGGCGAGTCGCACGGCGAGTGGTGTCGTGGAGGGCAGCGAAATATGTCACGTCGGCGATATAGGGTCGAGGAATGACATGACTGCGATGCGCTGTTGCGAAGACACGGGGGACTATGGCGCATGCATCGGGCGTGTGGCAGTGAGAGCTGGCACCGGCGCAGAGCGAACGCTGGCCGAGGCCGGATGCCGCTAAGCCTACACGGTCGCTAGCGACGCTTTGTCATCAACCTCATCGCCATCTTCACCAAGACCACCAACACTCAGCCGTCAGTTCCATTACCGCCCAGGGCACGGCATAGCCGAGTCTCACGGGCGGGGCTTGGGCGGGCCTCGGGCGACATCAGACGACAGATCATCCCAACCTCTCGATGCACTCCATGAACTTGCGAAAGGTGGTGGTGCATCGAGCGTAGAACGACGTTATGACAAAAAGACACTGCTAGCTATACATACTCAACGTACCCACGAAAGTCTACACGAAGTACCTCTACCTATCTCCTCAAACGAGCCTGATTCACGACTCCTCGAATTTCGCATCAGGCCAACTACGATGCGCTTTTCCATCGTCGGCCACCCTCTCCGCAATAGACACTCTGGGACTACCCCAAAGGTCTGATGCATCTGAAAACAGTTCTAGCATCTCAGACAAGAGACGCTTCGCTGTTTCTTCCATAAGAGGACGACGCAGCATCATCCAGTCAGTAAGGATAGCCATGCAGTCGTCCAGATCTTCCAGACTGCCTTTACTAAAGACAATGTATCTTATCGAGACAAATCCGTCTCGAGCGGTTTCTTGAAGTCTGAAAGCTCGGTGAAACCCGGAAAACATTGTCATAGCTCCCCAAGTGCCGCAGGCATCTACTACGGGGCCTCGGTGAAGAACCAAGAGGCATCGGCATTTTTTCCATAGCTGATCCAAACACAGCTTCATGGCCTCTTCGGCTGTCGCTATGTTGACAGGCTTGATCATCTTACCGCCGTTCCTCCACCAGACGTTTCCGGAGCGATTCTCCCAATTGCTGATGGACTCCCCTTCCGCCAGCTCAAACGCATAGCCCGGACCAGAATCGATGACAACGGCCGATTGGGATTCATCGGACTTGCTTGCTATGCGATGTGCTGCGGGATATTCGATATAAGCGGCATCGATGCTCGCATGCCCGTTTGTTGCGATCGCAAAGGACGTGCATAGTCCGATGCCGCTTGTCCAAAGATAGGGAGGAAGAGGTTCTGTCCATGCTGGCTTGACATCCCCGAACAACTTTCCATTCTTCTTGCCTAGCAGCTTTCCCGCGAGGTCCCATCTAGTATTCGGATCGACATTCTCTAGCAGTTGATCGCATCTTCGGAGGAACTCTCTCCACGGCTGCGTTGCAGCCGGCATGGCTGTTGCCAAGATGTATCTGGCGTTCAAGACATTGGTGTAGTCTGAAGACGCCCAGACTTGTTCGTAAGCAGACTGGGCTGCTTCGAGGTCTGTCATTGTGTATATGTGTGTGTGTCTACGAGTGTATGATGAAAACGTCGGGATGCGGATGCGATTGCGAAAGTGTGTAGCTTTTGGCGCTGGTCAACCCGTCGGTGGTTGACAAAGAGCAAGACAACGGTCCTCGCATGGTAAACATTTACCCAGTGTGCAACTTCCGTAGGTTACGCGTGTATACATTTCACGTTGATTCCTTCTACGTGTACTTCAATACTCTTTCCTTATAATCCTATGATTCTCAACTAATCTTTTCAGCAAGGCTATCTCCTGGACTTAAGCTTACAGACGTCGCTAACTATACCAATCAAAAAGAACCCTAAGAAGTTTAGGATGAATGGATTGTTAATAGTGCTGGTTCAATTTGTGGATGTTGCGGAAGGAGAACCATGGTTCTAGAGGTACATAGCCACTGCACTTAAAACCCTTCGTTCTACTGCACAGTCGCAAACATACTCGCACACGCATACACACCACCACGCACAAGCATACCCACACACGCACTTACAGTTCGCGCACCCTACACGATGTCATCCTCCCAGCAGCAGTCCGTCCCAAGGATTAGACGGGTTCGAGAGCTGCAAGCGTACAAGGACTGGGTCGAGGCAGGGGGATTAGAAAGATTTGCAATAGAGCATAATGTCAAACCAGACTTCGCTGACCGTCTTTGCGACGTCACGCCGGACGTAGCCATCGCGTTTTACCTCAAGCTCGCGACTATACCTGGCCTAGAAACTACAATGGCACCCCCGAGCAACGAAGTGTATGCCCCCGCCTCATATGGGCTACAAATCATACAAGACATGGAGAACGGATGGAGCAGCGAGGATGAGACGGATGATAAGAAGGCCAAGGAACAGAAAGGCGGAGAGAGCAAGGACGTAAGTCGCAAGACTTAGTCCTTGCATCTTGTGGTAGGGCTGACAAATGACAAGATCAAGGACGAAACCGATGAGGACTTCTTGTTCCTCGCAGTTTTGAGCAGCCTGAGGAAACGAGGCGCGCCCAGTTCAGCACTGAGTAGCCTGGCAAAGCGCTACAAGGAGGCATGAACACGCCAACGCTCTTGGTATGGAGCTTGTATCAACCCTCGTGAGAATTTTCTCTGCCAAGTCAGCGATGGATAGTCCGGGAGTCATCTCATCAGAGTGCCCAGCTGATTCAGTGTAAGCATTCGAGCATGGGAAGCATGTGGCGGATCGATGGGGAAGGTCGTGTCGTCCAATCAGCGAAGCTGCAGCCATCTGAACTGCAAAAAAACGCGACAAATTGTTGTACATGCGATAAAAATGCGCGCATTTGTATCGCCAATATACCTTTTTTCAAACGTGTAGAAGATCTGTTGTGCAATCAAGCCTCCGCGCTAAGTCAGTCATATGCAGCCCATGAGCTACTCATGTGCCCACACCGCGCATCGCCGACAGAGTCCCATAAAGTGGGAACAAGATAGCCCTCCTATTGACCAGCTCAGGCTGGGATGAGCAGTGCGCTGAGTGTACGCGGAGGACACAAGGGCGGCATGCGCAAGACTGGACCTCGGCTCTGGGCGGAAGTCGGAAACACGACATGCCGCCCACCCAACAACACCTCGGACCTTCTCGCAAGCGCATCCACGCCTAGAAGTCGGGCTATGCGTTGGTCGCCCGCCCTTGCATCAGTATGGCCACGACGAGGCGCCGCCACCAGAGACGACATCCTACGAACTCCATCGAGATGCGATCCAACAATTGCCGTCCTATCGCAACATGACAGCCCTTCTAAAAGATCCAAGCCCAGCGCGCTACCACGAGTACCCTCTAGTCTGGTACAGGAACCCCGCCCAGCAACGCCCTTACGCCAACATATCCAGCTCCTCTTCCAGACCCCACATGATTTCGCATCTCGATAGGTCGCGCGTTGCCGAAAGCTGTTCTCGTCGCTTCGCTCATAGGGCTGGAGGGTCTGCACAAAGCCTCGCCCTGGCTTGTTCTTCTCTTGCGCGATCAATCGCCGCGAGCTCAATTTAAATGCTTTCCAACCACTCGATGATCGCCCCATGAGGTCAGCTAGGCAGATTGCGAACCCGCGGCGGGTATACTCACTCGAGCTCGATGGTTTTTGATCACGTGGTTGCCATCGCTCATATCGTCGATACTACCGTCGCCTTCTCTGCCTGGATCGATACCTTCTTGGACCTCTTCGACGTAGCTGCCCCCGCCTTCTTTGCCCTCATCCGCCGCGTCTCTCGTGGTGAGCTCTCTGAATCGAGGCTTCAGATGGCTGATGCACTGGTCCCAACGCCTTTTCATCGCTTGCGGAGCATGGACGAGATGGAGAAACCGGTCGTTCACGAAGCGACAAACTCAAGCGCAAATGAGCATCTCATTGCGAACGTTCGCTTGGGTTGGGGCCTTGTAGACTTCGATTTCTGAGTCTCGGAAATGCTGCACTTTGGTGGGCGATCAAACAGATGAGCATGACAGGCCGAGGGGACTGCGACGCGTCGCTCGGGAGTGGTGAGAGTGGTGGTAAGTCGGAGGAGTCGGAGGAGTGCGATATGTTGGCCAGTACGAGTTGGCAAAAGATCGCTACGACACACACTTCTCCACGCTCACCGTCCCTTTCACCTTCACTACTGCCTGTGAGATTGGGGCGGCGGAAATTAGCGCCTCATTGACAGCGGCCTTAATCGCTCGGTATCGCTGGTTAGGAACGAAAAGTTCAAAATTAGTCTTGCCATCCAAGATCGAATACCAGAAGCTTCCCTGGCACCTGCGATCGGGTTGGCCGAGACAGACGGGTCGCCATCACGTTTTATGTCGACTTGGAGGTCTGCATCAAATCTGAAGCAGTTGCGGCATTAGCCGTACAACTGTTGGGAGATGTCCCGCGGTCTGGAGCGTTGACGCAAGCCTGCAGGTAGATGGGACACTGGAAAGGTTATGTATCCCAGGTTACGACGCCTGTACCTCTTCTTCTCTGACACACTAATGCCGACGTGAATTGCGATTGAGCTACACCAAGTTTCTCAGCGGAATACAATCTTAGCGCAAACCTGATTACACCCCGCTTTGGATCCCAGGAAGTGAGCTCGATTAGAGCAAATGCGGTCGGCCGCCGGGGTCGACTGCTTAGTGCGTACTTGTGGTGAGAGTGATTGCGGAAGCGACTAACGACTGAGGTCTTCTACACTTAAGAAATTCATTCATTTTGCGTAAGCGCTGCTATACTAGTATTACGGAAAGCTATCTTCCCTACCACAGATATACAGCTCAGAAGACATCGCACGACGTCAGCATGGAATGTACTGGATCCGCGAGGCAGTTCACCATTACCCTGCAGATCAAGATACATGCCCTCACCCCCAAGTGCCATCCGAGGACTCCCGAAAGATGAAGCGTTGGTGGTACAGGAAGACGCGCTACTTCAAGCGCCAGCTGAAGAAGCTCGGCACTAAATAATTGGGGGAGACGGGGAGGAAAGCACTGGTCGTGAGAGCATTCCCATCAAGACGAAAGGCCATGATTGCGAGGACAATTGTGTTCATACCTCGTAAGTTTTTCCGCCGTTGCCTCTACTCTATTGCTCAGCTGATCTTCGCAGGCCATTGGTCGCTTAGCTCGACACGATCGTATACGTTATGGCCGCCTTGACACCGCAATGGGAGTCCATTATTGACGAGAACGCTACAATACCTAAACGATACTGCGATCGGTTTAGCACTCAGCGGACATGTTGGACCCTAATCTACTGTCTCGGTGTCTACGTTCTGTCGGCAGCGAGGAAGCCCACGCAAGATACCGGCTTCGGACTGCGGAAAATGCGTCGTTATTTTCCCAAAATGAGAGCTCACGATTTCTTCTAGACTCTTAATATGGAATCTCCAGCGGGTATAGTGTCCTGAACTCCAGCATACAATCGAGGCTGCGCCGTTGGTGCGAAGTCGTTCGAGATGTTTACCCCCATCATTCCTTGCAATACCCCCAATCCAGATGAACGGGCTTCTGACCTGCAATGGAGAGTGAGGGCGTAGGCAAGATGGGTATGTTTACGCGAGCCTTCTTCGAGTTCTCTAGATTCTGACGGTCTAAGAAAATCTGCGTGACAATGGCGCGGACCTTCGGTTGTCTGAAGGCGGCATATGGACCCGTGTGGACCACGACAGATCCATGGGGTGGTGCAAGCCGAGGAAAGAACTCGGGTTATTGCTGGGAACCCTTGAAAGAACTTACTGCGAGACGTCATTGACTGTGTCGTAATCAAGGTTGTCATGTCGCTGGTACGACGGATTAGGGCAATCTTTGGGTCCTCGGCACGTTGGTTCTTCGACGTGACCTCAGCTGCTTCCTGCATTGGTTCTCGGATTCTCGTATAGCTTCCTGATCTAGGGAAAAGAGCCTTGGTGGGTGCTGCTGTAACGGTAGCTAACGTTGGAGATCGCTGTTTCAAAGTTTCAAGGTCCATGGCAAGCGTGGAGAAAGGACTGAGATCAAGTTTTATAGATCATGTAAGCGAGTAAACAACATATACGTGCCGCGGGCGTAATCCCTCTTGGCTAAGACTGACCCTGGCAACCTTGATTCCCCGAGCTTTGATCACACCGAGACCTCTAGCCTTGACAAAGTCAACTCCTTCTACCTGAGCAGCTGCTTGCTCTTGGCATCGCACTGTTTCGTACTCCTCCAACCCAATAGCATCATGCTCCCACGCCTTGAGCTTTCATACCTCTCCCCCCTCTTCATTGGTATCGAGTATGGATTGAGGGTGGAGAACGAAGCGAGGTCTTCTCGATTGTCCAGTTTCATCATCTCTGTCTCGAGTCTTTCTTGGTCCCATGATAACCTGGAGCTGAACACGCAAACGGCAAACGCAGGTTTGGTAACCCACCTGGGAACTGACATGGTCCGGAATGGTGAACAGCAACGCCTCCTTGATGACTCATTTTCCCGTGGTCTCCGCGCAGTCTTAGTCGTATGCGGTCTCAAATAGCCAGTTTGGACTCTCAGTATTGTGTCCACCACGTCAAATTGATCGACACGGGGGCCTTTGTTGTTGAGGCAGGCGCCATTGGACATGTGCGTTTGCGGGAGGATAGAAGACACGCGAGAACCTTAGCCTGGATTCGCCTTAGAGCTGCGGCTCCCAAGCATTGTGGTAGATCTTCTGCGTGATCTAAATCGAATTTTTGAGGGGGGTCACTATCCACGCCAATGACGCAGTGAGTCGGCAGCTGTACTTACCCGCAATTCACCATATCGCTATCACTCTCCTCGTACACAGCTTTTACTATGATACCCGTTGCAACGCGGTCCTTGCAGTCCGTTTCGTCGCCTGTGGATACGATGGTCTCGGCTTCATCACAGATATCAGCGCCGTAGCTGGAGGCTTCCTCTTCGTGCTTCCATTCCATCTCGTCGTAGTAAAAGGCTGGCTCATTCCAGGAGTCGGTATCGTTACAGATTGAAGCCTCTTCACTCAACTCAACTTTGGCAGAGAGGTCAGCCTTATCCACGGATCCGATTCGACTGAGAGAATCGATCTCTTCGACCTCGACAATAGCCATGAGGCCCATTGCCCACGTCGGTAGGTCGTTGGGATGGTCGTACTGCATCGCATCCTTTTGAACGCGGTGTCTGAGGGTCAACGGAAATTCTTGCGCTGGGGTTGCGCGTTGCACCGTAGCGGGCTCGTTCTCTGCATATATCACGGTGGCCTCGCTACCGGAACTCATCGCGACGGTCTCGTCGTTCGTTGTTCGCAGGATCACGGGCTTGCAGGCGTTGGTGTACGGTGGAATAAGAATGAGCAAACAACTGGTTGCGAGAAGTGGGAGACTTCTTGTACGCCAAGACGCGCTTCCTCAGTCACCTCTGGTCCCACGTTCACGCTCACCATGGTGGAGCTGCAAACGCCGAGGGCGGATCCTGGCGACCTGTTTCTCATGGCCACCGCGGGGCAGAGAACGAGAGCGGGTCGCCTTCTGCTAGCATGTCGGATAACGGATGTCTCGGTGGTATATGAGAGATATCTGGATCGATTGGAAGTGTGACGAAGGCCTACGGCCTCAGAGGTA